GTCCCTATCAATCAGCCCCAGACAGTGTCCAGTCAGTAAATTATAGATGACAATACCCATGATTGTAATAGAGTCTTGAAGATCATAGAATCCATCTGCTGGATAATTTCCAGGATATATAAGTACTGTATCACCATCAAAACAGCTACACAATGCACACGATGGTGTCTCATACTCCTTTATTATGGTGTCTGAAGGCAGGTCCTGAAAAAACAAACAAATAATATTGACATACATCATGGCTACTATTTATTTCAAGGCGGAATGAGGTCCACAGTCAAGCATTTGTCTTAAAATGGTCAATGCTAGCAAACAATTAGAAAAATCATTTTCATTTGAATGTTTTAGAGTATATATGATTAGTACAAAAGATTTACAATAATGTATTTATGATTTCACAAAACAAAATTGCAATCTATTCACAGGGCTTGAAAAATAACAGTAGCCCAAACTACCAAATGTTGTTCTGGCCAGGGCTACCATTTTTCAAAGTTATCAGCCCAACAGGACAACTTCTTTCTATAAATGAACCAATTTGCCTCTAAATTCTGGGTGTGTCAAAACAAATCAAGCCATATATGGCTTTTATTTATTTCTATGAACACTTTTCTGCTGCATGACCTACTAAACCCAATGGACTACAAGATTTTACTATTATATTATAACTGGTAGCTTAGAGAAATTTGTTAATTTCAGGACCTGATTCAACCGGAAATTCACTAAAATCAAATTTAGGCCATGATAAACATTAAAAACACATTGGTATGAATGTCAACTCACCTGTAACATGCCCACTGTAAGTCTCTCAGTTACAATATGAGTAATGACACTACCATCAGGTCTGGGTCCTTTACTCTGACCAGGCATACTACCATTAAACGATTCATGATGACTAATCATTAACCTATGAAGGGATGCAATGCAGATCCAATCAATGTCCCACACTACCTTAGTACATTTTACACAGGCTGGGATATACATATGTAATCAAATTGTCATTCCCTGAGTTCAGGTTCTACTGACAAGAGGATAGCATTTTCAAATGATACACAAGGTTCCTGCATGTATGTGCAATATATTTGTGAAATCACTTTGATTGTGTTGCCAATTAAAGATATAATAAGGAGATCCCAAGGAATATAATCAGATCTCTAGTCCATTCTGGTGATTGTTCTTATGAAAGGTGAAAATATTGCTGAGCCATAATTGCGATGCGAAGATATGAAAACATGTTTCTTTTATTTGAAATAAGATAAATATTTATGTTGACGCTTTATTTACCAGTAATTTCAGACATTAACCAACATGAGTTTTGGTGTTCAAGTTACACATACAGACTTCACCGTTTCTATTTCTGCCTACCACAACTTGGCAGTGCACAGAATTAGTTTAGATGTACTGGTTTCCAAATTTTTATAAAATGTGTAAAAACCTGCTGATAGAATTGCTTTCAAAGTTCGTAAAGTTATACTAAAGAGTCTCTAACACTAAATATATCAATGTCCCTCAAAATCAGCCAATTTGCCCAGCGATTGCTATAAACTGTTGGTAAATTGTATTAAAAAAACAGCATCTCCATTTGTGAATGAATAAAGAACACGCTGAGAATGCTTTGACATGCTCACTGAGTTTACGATTCCGATGTATATACGACAACATAATTTCATGTAATGATTCTGTGTAGTAATATGACATACGACACCATTAAATAAATCTGATATTACATGGTCACTCATGAAAGATCCGATATATACGATACCAAATTAATACACTTTTAAATGACAACTCTAATTTTCATTTTGCAATACCACTTTGTGCAAAACTATTGGTTTCTCCAAGTTGATGCAAATTTGATTGGTTCACCTTTCAGTTCATTTGTCAATCTATGTGCTGTAATCAACACATAAGTTACTAAACATATTAAAGAATCCCACCTCATCATTGGATTCTCCATAACTTGTAGTGACTGTTCATAGGATTTTATCCGTTGATATTTTAATGTCAACTCCATCAAACTTGACTCAGAAATGTCATGCTCAGAGTCACTGCAGTCAAGCTCATTTCTCATCTTTGTCAACTCAGCATAGAGGACCTTGTACTCTTCCAGCTTTGCTGTGTATTTCTTAACTGTCTCAGTAGCCAGTGTTCCACTCTGCATGTCATAATACCTACAGGGATACATTGTGACATCACACAATCATCTCACAATACATTATATGGCCCAATAAAGTCTTTCTATCTTTCTATTGTGGCCAGAAATTTACTTAATTAGTTTATACCAGCGAGTCAATTTTGACCAACAATAATAACATCTGAATGAGAATTATAGGAGCCAAGAATGAAAGACATCATTTTCACACAAACTTTAAGCAGATTTTTGTAATATGCAGATTGCATTAAAAAATTCCAATTCAATGTTTTACTTGTTCATGTAATACTTTGCCCTCTACATTTATAATATCAGAAAAATAAGTCACATTCTATGTAAAAAGCTGCCACCTGTTGAAAAAATAGTATTTTTTTAAAATCTTACAATTTGAGTCTTGGTTCAAGATGCCGATCAACATAGATGAAATCATCTTCCTCCTCATCATCCCAGCCACGCCATATGTGATTGAAATAGAATCGTAAATGCTCGATGGCAAGTGCAGTTTTATAGAAGTCCCCAGTCTCATCAAACACCGGATACAATTCAATCAGAGCTACTAAATAATCATTCTTGACTAGGAATGTTACAATATCATCTATGTTTGTCTCTTTCGGAACACACTGCACAGGATATATTGGTCTGATGTCAGCTTTAAAACCAGTGGGTCTCACATCAAATACCTTGGAAAGGATTGAGAAATAGATACAAGCCTGTTAGAAGCAAACAAAAAAGCTCAGGACTCCTGTGTGGAGACATTCAAAATGAATTCAAAATTTAAGATTAGCCTTTCAAACAAGAAGCTTGGCAACTAATATTTGTCAAGTTATTTGAGATGCACAATGTGATCCACATTATTGAAAAACAAAAAATTGAATTGTACATCTGTGGTTTGTAGTGTAATTTAATATAAGATAATAATTTTTTTAGATACATGTAGAAAATTGGGTAATTATTATGCAAATCAAGCAAGCAATTATGCATAAATTTCAATCCAAAACTTATTAGGTCTGTGTATTGTTCCAGAGCACATATGTACCATTATAGTGTTTCATGTAT